TACAATGTTGACCTTTACAATGTTGCTGGGGAATTCAGGTTTCATTGGGATGTATATTGCTGCTTTTTTCTTCTTTTTTACTTTTTATTTTCTTTTTGTTGTTGTTGTTGTGCATAATTAGAAGCAAAGTAATGCATTTCCTTGAGAGTGAAGACTATACATTCTCTGCATCAAAATAAAGGATAATGCATTCTGTTACTGTGCATTCTCGGAATCTAAGTTGATGCATGCGAGAGTGAAATTATCCCAACACAACTATGATGCATTTATATACTGTAACATAGTAAATTTCTGCAAACGATGATGCATTTAAAATGTTCTGTGATACATTTTCATATGAGTTGGAAACATCTTGAATTATGCAAATTTTAAAATACTAAAATATATATTTAATAAGTCCAAGTCCAAGTTGAGTCTTTTTGAAAAAACAAATCATTGCCTATTAGCTCAAACGGTAGAGCAGTCTGTACTACAGATGTGAGTTCGAATCCTGCATAGGCAAATTATTTCTCAAATTTCTATTACATTCGTTTTGAATACAATGCATTTTCAGGCTTTCTCATCACATACAAAGTTACTTAGGAGTCATTGTTCGTTATTTCACAAATTAATAGAATACATTTTTATTAAAATCTAAAGTGCAAACCACATTGCATATATCAATTATCTCAATGCATTTGCATTAAAAATTATTTATAAGTTTTAATTTTATAAGTTTTCTTACTTTTTAATGTGATAGGAAGATAATATTAAAATTTTATATCAAATATTGGTGTCTTTGAGTAGATATTCAAAAACAATCTCCAATGACATATTATATGTCAAGGACGAACTTATATACAAAATTTTATAAACAAAATATATAATGCATTAGAATAATTAAATAAATTTAAATTTATACGATAATATACTCCATCCATCCAAACTAAATTGTATGTTTCTATTCACAGGATCACACTTTATTCACTTTTTTTTCCTATTTTCATTAATCATTTGATAAAATAATATAATCATGTCACCACTAATTTTGTAGATCTTTTGATGTCATTTTTAATTATGTAATTTTATTTTATAATACTACACCATTTTTTATATAAAATGATTTAAAAATAACTTCGGTCAAACACCATAAAATGAAACAATTAATTTAAAATGGGACGGAGGTAGTAATAATAAAAACCACAAGAATTAAAAAAAACCCCCACAAAGTCGTGCATCACTATGTTTCTACAAGACGTTTATGCCCCTCCCTTAATTGCGCACCACTATGTTCCTATTTTTAAGCATTTCATTTATTACCTTCCATCTTAATTTTTTTGGTCAAGCCTTTATCTTGAGCGTAGGATCTTTTTAATCTTACGAATAACATTTATTCTTATTTCTTTCATAGTGAACCATTCTTACTAAATCTCACCCCTATAATATATATATATATATATATATATATATATATATATATATATATTAGTTCAGGTGAGAATGCGATCTTATGAAAAAAATAAGAATGAATCTGGTGCAATAGATTGTGAGATCTAAGGGTTAGGATTGCATCAAAATTAGATGCACCAAAATGGTTTGAAAATGCATCATGTAGAAATGCACCATAATCCCTTGAAAATGCATAATCTCAAAATCTGAGTGCAGGATGCAATCTGAGCCGCACGATGCATCAAATCTAAAGGCTAGATTTTATTCTTATTTCTTTCACCAAGGTGCATTCTCACCTGAACCGCCCCCTATATATATATATATATATATATATATATATATATATATATATATATATATATATATATATATATATATATATATATATATATATATATATATATATATATATATGAGAATAGTTTTGATCCGCTAGATTACATGCATCAGACGGCTAGGATTTAATATTGCATTGGATGACTTTATGAACTTGTTTTTGTTAGGTAATCGTGAGATTGCTAAAAATCAGGAGGAATAAGTTATGAAGGGCATAAGGGTCATATATTATCCCAATTCTCACCGAATAAAAAAAGAAACTGCATCCCATATTCTCTCAATAAATATGGGCACTTACTCAATCGATTTACTAGCATTTAGAAACAACTAATGTTATTATATTAAAATATCAATTCCATTTCATTCAATTATTATTTGACTGCATTG